TGCAGGAGCAGATAGCCAGCGCTGGGAGAGGCAAGCAAGTGGCATGGGGAGCACTGAGACCTGGGAGGGGCACGGGGTAACATTTTAGGGTCTAGCACCCACCCAAGTATTAATGCGCCCTGGGAGAGAGGAGGAATAAGGGCTCCCACCCGTGCACAAGCCCTTTGCTTTCAATGCCGCCCCTTTAAGACATCACTTAATATGACAGATTAATTAGTTAATGTTTGTAAAGTGCTTTGAACATGAAAAGTGCTGTGTAAGTACTGAGTATTAGTATTAATTATTATGGCATGGAGGCTGGCCCCATCTGAGCAGTATTCCCCACGCCTAGTTTCAGGCCACTGCTGTTTCTCTGCCTCTCCCCCTCCATTGCCCCATCCTGTAAAAGCCAGAAGGAGAAAGGGAGAAGCAGAGAGGAAAAAAAGACCATCTGCAACCGGCAAGGAAGGAGCACCTCATGGAGTCATGTAAGGGGGTGAGCCACGCACCCCTTCCACTCCGGGCCGGGCATTGCATGGGAAGTGGAGCTGCATCTCCCCAGTGCCCCACTGGCATGGGGGGAGACGAGGGAGCACCCTCTTGCCCCCAGCTCTGCAGTGGGCTGGAGTTGAAAATATCTCAGGGGGATGGAGAAGATGTGGAGGGCCTTCTCCAGCTCATCCCACCCATCCCTGGGTGGGGGCACCCAGGACTGGTGGCAGCTTCAGAGTCAGGCAAGGGGATGAGGAGGGGGTGAGAAGGTTGTGGGGTCTGTGAGCTAGACGGGGCGGAGAGGTGGCTGCGTCCTAGATGTGTGCATGTCAGGGCCGGGAGCTCCCCGGCGTCCCCCGGCGCCGGCGCCTGGCCCGCTTTGCTGCCTCTCCCCTCCTCACGCCCTCCTTCTTGGCGAGGCTGCTCCCGGGAAGGGTCCCCGGGGGAGGAGCAGAAATGGGGCGGCGGGCGCCCCCAATTACCTCGGAGGCGAAGTGTCCTGCCGGCTGGCCCACGAAATGTGTGTGCCAACAGGCACGCTGGGGAGGCGTGGGGTGGGTGTGAGGTGCTACCAGGGGCCCAAAGGAGAGGGGTGAGCTGGAGGGGGTTGGGCTGGAGGGGGGGCCGGGGAGGGCCAGAGTGGAGACCCACAGGTGCCAGCCAGGGGATCAGGATGCTGAGCACAGGTATCAGCCTGTGCGAGGTGCAGTGGGCAGTGGGAGGACTGTGGTGCTGTGATCGCACTGCAGTCCATCCGTGTCTGCTTGGACACCTGGAGCTGGGTGTGCCTTCACCCTGCTGCCCCCATGCTGCCACCAAATTACCCTGCCTGGTCCCACCTGCTCGTTCAGCTCGTGGTCTTGCTTGCCCACCATGGATCAGACCCTGGCTGCATTTTGGAGGGGCTTTGTCACTCGGGTGGCTGCCCTTCCCTGTCACCCCTCTGAGCTGGTGGTGATGGGGTCTGGTGGGGATCCTGGTCTGCTCCAGAAAGCCGTGGAGGGCCCCAGGGCAAGCGGGAGCCCAGCGGAGGGTGAGGTAGCACCCCTGCTGCTGGTGGTGGGGTGGGAAGTGAGGGGACATGCCGGGATCCCAGGCCCCTTAGCAGGGCTCTTGCCTCCCTGCCCTGCTGCCACCTCACCCGTTTCTGGGTCTGCAGCTCCAGCTGTAAGTAACCCCCAGCTCTGGGCTCCGACACCGAGCATTTCCACCAGGCAGCCACTGCCAACCCAGCTACTGAGGAAATCACCAGAAATCCCATGAGTCGTTGAACAAAACCCCAAAACAATGTGAGGCCCACTTTCTTTTCCTCTTTCCTTTTTGAGCCCTTGAGCCTGTGCAAAATCTGAGCTCACCAGCGGTTCTTGGCTTGCCGCCATGAGAGCTGCTGTCTTCGGGTGGGAGTTGGGGCATCATCCGTGGTGGTTACACCACCCCGGGAGGAACGGGACAGGAGGGTCGATGCTGGGGGCTAAACAGGGGCTGGAGCAGATGTTTTGGAGGGCAGCAGGGAAAGCCGGCACGCGTAACTCAAGTTTACCTGCACTTACTTCAAAAAAAGCTATGCAAACCCGTCTTCTCTTGCCTCCTCCTTCCTCCTTGTGTCGCAAAGACTGGCTTGAGAAGAGCAGTTGAAGCAAGACCGTCTGCTGAAGAACACAAAGCTGTCCACAATAGTTGACTCTCTTGCTGTGTTTCCAGGTACTCCTCCGGCACAGCAGGATAATAAATCCCCCCCCCAATAAATCCACATAAACGAGGACCAAGTTATAAAAAAAAAATCTTTATTTCATGTACCAGGATTTTTTTTTTGTCATTTTCTCTTTTTAAAATTTTTTTTCTTTTTAACAGTCTGAAAAAAACCACGAAATAAAGAAAATGGAGGTTGGTTTCTTGTACTGGTTTGAGCTGGACATGAGCAACACCCTCGTCAAAATCTTCCCGGCCAGCCCTCGTCTCCCGCACGCGCTCTCCCGGCGCGCTCCTGCGCTCTCCCCTTCCCGCCTGGCCCTGGGGGCGTGCTCGGCCCTGTGAATGCTCCCCAGCTCCGCGCGGCATCGGGCGGGCGAGGGCGGCTGGGGATGGAAACCCCAACGCCACCCTCCCTCTATGCTGGGGTCTGGGAAAACGGCTTTAACTTATTCCTTGGGAGGCATCGGGGTGTGTGTGTGTGTGTGTTCCCTGTGAATCTTTTTTCAAGGGCTGGGGGGTCACAGGAGGGGATTTCAAAAGGTGTTGCTGCGGGGGGGGGGGGGGTGTCTGGACACACAGCCAAGCTGCTCGCATCCTCCTTTTGCCCTGTGATGCCGTTTTTGGGGGTGACCCCCTCCCACTGCTGCCCCCCGCCCTGCCCCGGAGAGGGGAGAGGGGGGTTAAAACAGCGGAGGGGGGGTGGTGGTGCAGGGAGGATCAAGCTGCTTTTAAGCAGAAACCCCGCTGGGACCCGAAGCGGGGGACTGCACGGCTCCTAAAACTGGAGCAGCAGGAACGGGGACACAAAAAAAGTCGAAAAGTGGGTCTGAGCTGCCGAAGGGCTCAGCGGCACCATCCTGCAAACCCTTGGCCTCGTGCCTGCTCAAGGTGCTGCCGCTTTTGGGGAGCAGCCCTGACGGGGGCCCTGTCCTTGCCCCTGGGCTGGCCGGCGGCTCACGGGGTGTCACAGAGGCCCCCCGACCCCACGCTTCCCTGCTGCCGCCTCCCCTCTCGCCCACATCCGCAGCGGCCATTGCAGGGGGAGCTGGATTAAAAACCGTTTCTGGCACCCCCGGTGCTCCATTCCCCTGGCACGGCAGGGAGGGAGGGTGCCACGGCCTGGCCAGGGGTCCCGGGGTGGGATGGCAGGGGCCCAGCTCGCCTTGCCGCTGTGGATGAGACTGCAGCAGGCCAAGACCCCCCAGCAAGAGGGAACGAGGACAACACCCAGCGGGTGTGGAGATGCCCGTTGGCCTCGCACCTCTCCCTGGCATGGCCGCCGGGACTCGGCGGGGCTCAGGCCCGGAGCGGGGGGCTCCCTGGGATGGGGATGTGTCAGGGCCAAGCAGCTGGCGGCCAGCTTAGGGTCAGGGCGGGCTGGCTGTGCCCGAGGGGGACAGGAGCAATTTCGGGGAGCGGCTGGGTGGGCCTTCCCATGCCCCCACGTGGCTGCAGCCCCACTGCCAGGACCTAAGCGGGGTCTGGGCCACCCCGGGGAGCCTCCGGAGCATTCACAGGAGAGCGTGCACGTGCCTGGGCACGCGTGTGCGAGCACAGGCATGCGTGTGCGCGAGTGCAGGCCCCCCTCATCGGCAAGCTGCCCTCGGCTTTGGCCTCCCGTATCACCCCAACCTGCAGCGTCCGGAAGGGATTGGGAGTCCCAGTTCCCCTCCACCCGCCCCTGCCCTCTGCCTGCGCCTCCCACCCCACTCCCCACTGTCTTTCCCTTTTTTTTTTTCACAGTTTAAAGCTGGAGAAAATAAAAATGAAAAGAAAAAAATACTATCTGTTTTTCTTGCAAGTAAATCCACTTATTATATTTACATTTATTTATAGCTGTTGTTTTATTAAAAAAATTGCCACTTTTTTTTTAAGAAACCTTTTTTGTCCTTTTTTTTGTGTGTGTGTGTGTGTCTTTATTTACTGTGTCTGTTTGCTTTTTGCACTGTCACCGTTAACCCTGGGGTCCCAGGGCTGGGGAAGCAGGGACCCTCTCTGGGGACACTGCGGAGGGGTGACTCAGCATCGGCTCCTGCGCTCCCTAGGGACAGGAGTCACTCTTAACCCCTACGGACCCACGGGGGATGAGCAGATCCCCACGGATCCCCGGAGGAATGGAGTGGGTCGCGGTTGACCCTGGCACCCCGGGATCCTCCGTAACCAGCCCAAGGACACCGAAGTCGCTGCCGGCCGAACCCCCATCCCCTGTCCCCTGAGGAGCCCGTGCTGGGTTAAAGGTAAGTGGGAAACAAACTGTAAAATTAAAGAATAAAACCCCCCAAAATCCAAGGAGCTGCCTCCTCCTCCTCCCACTTGATTTATTGTCATTTGTTATTTCTTGGTTCCCTTTTATTTTTTTTTTTAAGTCTGTTTTTATTAAATGTTAAAATAATGGTACATGGGAAATCATGCATTTTCTTTTAAATTTATTTCTATTTTTTAAATCTCTTTCTCTCAGTTTTAAAGTTTTTCTTTTTTTTCTTTTTTCTTTTTCCTTTTTTTTAAAGAATTTTTTTCACTGTTGTCTCTTTCCTTGCATTTCCTTTTCGTTTGTTTGTCTGTTTTTTTGTTCGCTCGCTTGTTTGTCTGCGTATCTGCTTGTTCGTTGGTTGTTTTTTTGTTGTTGTTTTTTTTGTTTGTTTTTGTTGTTTTTTTGTGGATTTTTTTTTTTTTTGCGTTGGGAAGGTCCCCACCC